AAGGGTAAAAGTTGTCATAAGCCTTCAGAAAAAATGAAGAATGTCCTGCCAGCATTTTGATTTTGACCCACCATTGTCTTTACAGATGAACTATAAAAATAAATTAAGAAATAAATAAAAAACCAAATAAACCTGCACTGTCTTTAAGCATGAAGTTGATGGTCATTTGTTATGGAAGCAATAGAATACTAATACGGTGTATATTGACTGGTTATTTTATGATATAACAGAATATTATTGCTTAAATATGACAATTTTAAATGTTTTTTTCAAGAGTACTATTAGAGGTCATACTGAATTTTATGAATTAAATTATGTATCTTGAATTTGCTTCAAAACAGTTCAGAAATGGCAGAGGAACAAGTGGGATGTACATGATATATGATTACTCACAATGATATAATTGCCAAAGCTTGGTTCTTTCCCTTTGGAAGACTCATAAATAACAATTTTTAAATTAATGAGATAATATGGAGATTCACCTTGAATTTTTAGAAAAGTTTTGTGATGCTGAAATATATTTAGTACAAAAGAAAAAAATTAAGCCAGTCCCTGCAGGGTAGGGATTATTCACAAAAGAAAAAGAGCCAAATTTAATGAAACTTGCTCAAGATTAAGGTTGAAAAAGAAATCGAGTCGTGAACTCACTTCCTGCCAGTGTTTTCATTGTGACGCTTTACTGACTCAGTCTGGCTAAGTCACAGCTTTCTGTGACTTAGGTTCCTACATTGTGTTGTGAAATGGAGCTGATTCAATGGTCTTACTAGAACTTAAAAAACAAAACAAAAAACCTATCTTTTGTAACAAATTGGATGTCATCTCACTATAGTCAAATTCTTTCTTCTGTATAAAGTCGAAGATTTTTACAGTGGGTTCCAAAAGCTTAAAGCATGTTGGACCCTGTGCTCCCAGAAGACTGTTTTCTCTGGATAATATAGTGGGCTACAAAGTATAGTGGAAGCAGGGCTCATTTTGTGGTGTTTCCCTCTCCCTGGACCTCTCCTCCTTACACCTTCCTCTCCCCAGGGTGCCAAGCCAAGTGAGCCAAGAGCAGGAGTGTTGGCACCTGACTGCTCACAGATTGCCCATTTCTGTCTAGGAATAGTGAGAAATCCAGTCTGAAGGACCAAAACATCACTTTATTTATATGGGAAATTTGGAAATGTGCAGGACACAGTAATTAACAGGGCTGGTGTAACTTTGTGTGCAGGCCAATGTGCTAGAAACACTGCAACAAATGGAGGTGTGAGAATTTCTGTCATATCCAAAATAGCTTAAGTGGGGCCATAACAGAAAGCAAGGCTTTTCTTACCAAGCAAGGAACAACAGTAGAGCTTAGAGCCTATTACATGTGCTTAAAAATATAGTCACATGTTTCATGCTTAAGAAGGGCTTCCTTGTATTAGTTCCCCATGTATCTTCTCCTTGACATGTGATCAGATGGATTATGTTCCATTTTATAGCGCCTAAAGGAGAATTACTATACTATGCACTAAAAATATCTCAGTGACTTAGTATTTTAGAGCTTATGTGTAGATAATATGATAAAATAAAAGCATATGGAAGATGGAAGGCTTTGTCTTTCTTTGTGGTCTGATTTTCAGATTTTCTAATTGGAATATTCCTATAATTTAAAATCCTGAACTGAGTCACATTTATTAAGATATCTATCCCTATAGTTTTTGTTGTTTCTTCTTTTTGATACTCAGTATCAAACCACGGCCTTTGCTCTGAGACAACTACTTTTTACTTCTAGGCAAGTTCTTGCTCAAACTTGTGCTCCTCCTGCCTCAGCTTCCCAGGGTGCTGAGATTATGGGTATGCATCATCATGCCTGGTTTTTGTATTCTTTTTTTTAAAGGTAAAAAAGAAAAAAATCTTGCCCATTCAAGTAAATATTTTTCACCTACTTGTAAGGCAGTTTTCTGTTAGTATATACAGTATATATAGTTTGTACCCATTTTTAAGAGTTAATAATTGACTTAGGAAGGAAAACAGGTTTGTAGCGTATTGATAAATTATACAAGCCAGATGTTTATAGAAGTTAAAAGAGCCAAGAAGACACTTATGACTAGTGATTGGAAGTGTGCTTAGAGATGAAAATGGAGCTTCTGTGAGCCCTACAGAACTGGCCATGGAGAAAGGAACATTTCCTTCACTGAGGTCATAGAAGCAGGGTCTACCTGACATACTCCAGAGGCAGTGAGTGAAACTCAGAGAGGTGTCTAAAACACACTCAGAAGTCAGATTACCCAGGTTCAGGGCTGCCTAGTTTTTGCTCTGTGTGACCTTGGAAGGTTTCTTAACCTCGCGTTACCCCAGTAAAGATGTTTTTTACTTTATAAAGTAAAAAAGTAGTATTAATCATACTAACGTTTCTGTTGTACTTCAGTATTAATCATAGTGAAATGCTGTTGTAAGAATTTGGGAATAGTGCCATCAAATAAGGAGTGTGCAAGTTGAATATTAAATAAATTATTATGACAATGGCAGTGATATCTCAGGAAGCATGAACAAGGTTGTGAAGAGTGGAGGGATTCACTGTAGGGCTGGGTGCTCAGGACACGTCCTACACTGAGGAGCTGCAGAAGCTTTGTGTTCAGAGAGTGCTATCAGAGGCATGATTCTGGAAAAGTAATCTGCAGAATCGATTGAAGAGACTGGTGCTAGGAGATTTATTGTAATACTCCAGACTTGAGGAACTCAAGACCAGAACTCAAATGATAGCTACATGCATTGGTATGCGAAAGGAAGAACCAGCTTGAAGACATTTCCCGTGAAGCCATTGCGAGGGTCTGGCATACAGCATCAGGGACACAGGCTCAGAGAGAGCAGAACACAGTGGTGTGTGAGGGGAAAATTTAAAATAGAGGAGTTCCTCAGAGAAGGCAGTAGGAGAAATCCATTTCACATGCCTCACATGTAAAACAGTAACTGGATTTGGTATCGAAAATGCCCTTGAAAACACTTTTCTGGTGCTCTAAGAGATAATAAGCTGAGGGCAGAAGGGGCAGAGGCAGAGATGAGTGTTGCGTTCTGCAAGAGAGAATGAGGTAACACAGACGACACTGGGCAGAGTGAACACTGCAGTAATTTCTTTACATTTCTATAAGAGGAAGTGTATCTCGCAGAGGATGAAGACGTGTTCCTAGTCCAAAGGACTCAGCATGAGACACCAGTCTTGCAGCACTTCCAGGCAGGGGAGAGCCATTTCACAGATTAAGTGCAAGGCAGGGCCTCGTGCGGGATGTGCTCAGTGTCTACAAATGTGGGTGTGTATCACTACAAACAGGCTTTATTCTGATGATGGATAATTATCCTTAGAGTTGTTTTAATTAATTTTATCTAACTATCCATGCCTTTAATAGAGAGACTGTCAGTCTATATGTGTATATCGATAGATAGATATCCACGTACATGCATACACTTAATTTGTATTATTTGTCAGATTCTCATAAGTTGTTCCTCTTAAACCATTTTAATGTATGCTTTTTTCTCTAATTAGATTTTAATATCTTAGGGGTATGAAGGCCTTTTGTTGATTCCAGTCTAATGGTTTTTGTCTTCATTCAGTTATGTATTGATTCCAGCCCATTCATGCTTTTCAGACACTGTATTAATTGTGAGGGGATGAATAAGAAATAAATCTTGGAAGCATGCTCACTAGCTGGGGAGAAAAAGACAAAAATGTGTAGTAGAAACAATAATGAAGACAGACAGTTACAAAATGCATTAGCCAGCCTTCCCATCACAGAGACGCAGTTCCTAATACCCATAACTTAAAAGAGTCAGTACATGGTCCCAGGCTCCAAGGCAGAGACCTCAGGATGGAAGGGCATTGGGGCAGAGCTGCTTAGTTCCTGGTGGCTGGGAAGCAGAGCAGCACACAGTTCCTGAGAGGAACAGGCAAGGGTCATGCATATATCACGCATGGCCAGCCAGACACACCCAGGAATGTGCTTCACTAATCTGCCAAACATTTCCAGTGAAACTGACGTGTCAGGTCTGCCACTCACCTATGGAGACATGGCATAGAAACATATGATTTTGATAATGTGGAAGGGCCATGCATAGAGGTAACTCAAGGAGAGGTTTTGAAACAGCTGACTTATGAGCTAAGCCTTAAATAGTAAATAGTAGTTACTGTACAAATAGGAAGAATGGTGAAATGAGATGTCTGAGAGCAAGACAGCCTCTGTAAAGATGGGCCCATTCTCAAAAGCAGTGTGACACTTGGGTATTGCTGCAGCATCAAGTGAATGACAGAGTGCTGAAAGATGAGGCTGGGGAGCAGGAATGGAGCCATGGCGGGGCTGGTGTAGTGCTCAGAGCCGTGGGCAGCACTGGTCAACCACATGACAGGGAGATTTGGAAGGTTTCACTCACAGTTGTACTTGGGTGAGATATCAGCCTTAGGTGGCACTTGGGAGGATGAATTTAAAGAAAAAGACATTTGACAGCTAGTCCTAGGGAAGACATGAGACACATAAACTGGACATTATAGGGATGGAGAAGAGGGACAAAATCCAGAACATCCATAATCAGAAATCAGCAGGACATATTATTTCCAAAGATAAGGGAGGGGAAGGAGCAGGGTTGATTCTAGATATCTACTTTACAATGAACCATATACTCTTAGAGAATACAGATCAGAAGAGAGTATAAGGAATTTGTTTTATCTTCCACATTGAGATTTTTAATGTGTCTATGATAATTTGAAATTAAAGCTTTTGAGTAGTTGGCATAGATTCCTAGATAACTAAAAGTACATCACCATTGATATTCATTAACCCTCTCTCTTGGAAATGGAGGAAGCATCCTGTTACTCTTGCAGTGTCATAACTCTTGATTTTCTTTCTGTTTTGTGTAGTGACAGTTCACTGTTTGGGTTATAACTTTACGATATGTGTGAACAGGTGAGCAAAAGAGTCGGCAGATTATTTTTAAATTGTCTATTTGACTTATTTTTTCCCTGTGCTTTTTCTTCATTTAAATTTCAGCACCTTCTACTGGAAAAATATCAAACAGTGCAACTTTCTCAGGAGCGAGGGCCCCAGCTAGCTCAGCTGTGGGGCAGCCTCAGCCAGGTGACCAAGATACTTTAGTGCAAAGAGCAGAGCACATCCCAGCGGGGAAACGAACTCCCATGTGTGCCCACTGTAACCAGGTCATCAGGTCAGTTACTTATTTTTTGGAATTTTCTTGCAAGTACTTAATACCAATGTTATTTTTTAAAAATGTTCTATAACATTTACAGTTTCTTTAACATAATATTGTCATAATTTTACGTAATACTACTGCAGTGGATAAATACATTTAGAATCTTGGTTTTGTTTGGTTTTTATTTGTTTTATTGAGACAAGGTCTCTTTATGTAGGCTGACCTCAAACTCATAGTGATCCTCCTGCATCAGCCTCTCAAGGGCTGGGATTACATGCACTCTGTTTTAATGAAAAGTAATTGTGGGCTTTGTGAAAATAAAACTAAAAACACCCAAGAGATGCATTTCTAATTCCTATCAGAACTAAAGAAAAACAGTGATGAATGTGGCCCTGCAGAGAACAATAAAATTTTAAAATTTGAAGGAGCCATGAAGATCATTTGTCTCATCTTCATTATTTTACTAATTATAAAAGTGAGAACTTACACTAGATTTTTTAAAAAGTTAGCAATATAAAGAACTTTGATCCCCAGAGAAAAGAAAGTTGGTTTTTCAAATACCTAATCATTGAAACCTATTAATTACCTTCAGATCTATTCATAGACGTTTTAAATGCTAGATGAGACTCTAGGAAGCTGAAGCAGGAGAATTGCAAGTTTGAGTCCACCTTAATAGATTGAGGATTAGTTCATGTTGAGATCATGTATTAACAGTTAACAGCTCAGTTTCCTGATGCTTCAAATACTTACACAGCTTGACTAGACTGTGGTCAGTGCAGAGCCTTGGTCACAGCATACTTCCAGCTCCTAGCCTCCATATCACTATTGCTCACCACAGCAAGGAAGCATTAAGTCAAGTGACATTCTCTTGGACACCTGGTGGAGCCAAGAAAGGTAGAGGTTGGTGAAGGATCTCTATATGAAGTTTTTTAGAAGTGCTGGTAGTAATGATTATAATGTGTCACAGATTTTGATAATCTGATAGCATAATCAGCAGGTGATTATACCCTGACAAAGTCTGGGAAGTATATTTCATACTTTACAATCATTAGTTTTCTACTGTATTGTATATTTGTTTATAATTCATGTTTTATTTTAAATATTTCAGAATTTCAAAAACGTTTATTGCTCCCTCTACCAAAATATTGAAGAGGCTGGGACATAACTCAGGGCAAAGACCCAGGGTTCAATTTTCATTACCCAGACTGAGCGATAGATAAAGAAATTAGGTCATAATCTGTTGCTTTAAAATATTTTTTTTTAGATCTGTTTATTTTCTCTTAAACTCCCAAGAAGGAAAAAAAAAAGGAAAACACTAATAGATATTGAGTTTGGTGTGCTGCAACCTAATCAATTTTCAAACATTTTTAGTAATTGACTTGAAATGCTCTGAGGTATGGTATGAACATTAAGTGCAGGTGTTGCTCCAGAGGATCTTGTTGGCTTTCTTGAGCTGCTGTTGGCTCTAACAGTAAGTGTTTGAAACTATTGCTCATGCACTCTTCTCTTAATTTATCCTTCTTTGAAAGAGTTGAAGCAGTGGCTAAAGTTGAATAAAGTTAAGATACACATTTTTCTTTCCTCTGTTACATAGATGTTACTTAGCATAATTATTTCTCTGCAATACCTTAGAATACAACCCCCCAAATTCAAAGACCCAGTATAAAAAGGGTATCTGAGATGAGTATGCACTTCACAAATGAAGAAATACAGATTACAAATAAATAATGTTCAACATCATAGGTCATTCAAGAGACGCAAATTAAAACAATGCTGAGATACCATCTTATGCCCAAAAGACTGGCTATCATGAGGAAGTCAACCAATAACAAATGCTAGAGAGGTTCTAGGGGGAAAGGAACCCTTCTCCACTGCTGGTGGGAGTGCAAAATGGTGCAAGTACTATGGAAACCAGTGTGGAGATTCCTCAGAAAGCTAGGATTTAGAATTCCCATTCAGGGCTGGGGAAATAGCTCCGTGGAAAAAATGCTTGCCTGGAAAGCAGAAAGGGGGGAGGGGAGGAGGAGGGGTAGAGGGGAAAAGAAGAGGAAAAAAGAAAAGAGGAAGGGAAGAAGGGAGGGAGGGAGGAAGGGAGAAAGGAAGGAAGGAAGGAAGGAAGGAAGGAAGGAAGGAAGGAAGGAAGGAAGGAAGGAAGGAAATTCCCATTCAATGCAGCTCTTCCCCTCCTAGGTATGTTTTCAGATAACATACCACAATGATATATGTGCACCCATATTTATAGCAGTACAATTTTGTCATAGCTAAATCTTGGAAACAACCAAAATACCCATCAACTGAGAAATAAATAAAAATGATGTGGTATTTTTATACAGTGGAGTATTATTCAGCTATTAAAAAGGCAAACATAAACTCAAGGCTTTTATAGGTGAATGGATGCAACTAGAGACCATACAGGTTAAGTGAAATAAATCAGACCCACATGTGCTAGCCATCGTGTTGTCTAGCTAGTGTGAGAACCTAAAAGAGTAAGTAAAATCTGAAAGGTATAATAGACACTGTGAAAGGGAAGAATCTGTTCAATGGGAAGAAAAAACTGGGATAAGCAAAAGGACAAAAGAAATAAAGGGAAGAGATATATTTATGTGTATATGCAGTATGGCTTAGATAATTGTACTGCTGATTTCTGCTGGTCTATTGAAAGGATCAGTTAATTTTTGTTCTTTTTAATTTTTTATAACTTTTTTAAAACTAATTTTCCATGTTTATATCTGGTAATCTAAACAACTAATTTGAAAATGACATTAGGCAATACAAAATAAAATAGAATCCAAGAATCTTCATGCTTTAAGAAGTAAACATAAATAATAGTCTCCTTCTTAACCTAATAAACAATATGTTTAAAACATAGCATATAGTACAAGACTCGAAATAAAATAGTATTTTTAACATTAAAACACACTAGGGGTCCGGGGAGATAGCTCAGTAGAGTAAGCGCTTGCCTGGTAAATGCAGGGTCCTGAGTTCCATCGCCAGTACCACAAAAAA